CACATCTTCCATCAAATACATGTCCAAAAGAAATTTAGGAATGATGTGCTAAATGAAGCCATTTACATGGCCGTAACCGAAGCAGTGACTCTTGCTAAAAGAGGTCAAGTATGTAAATGGCCGCAGGTTGTCGATGGACTCAAACAAAGCTTTATAGAGTGATACCTTCTCATTGATGATATTCCTTCTATCGTGGGCTTTACGAAATCAAGAGCTGATAGAATCTTGTAATATATAAAGTTCCTAAACGTATGATATGCTCATGCAATTATGATAGCATGCACTTACTCTAAGACAAGAATAAGATCAAATATAGCTAAAGATTACGAATATTGGGTCTGTACACAATATGATATAAGCAATTTATCGATCGTAATGTACCTAGACTAAAAAATTGAGTTATTTCATGGCTAACAGCAAAGCATTATCCACACCATTAACACTGGAAAAATAAACTTCGAGAGATGACGCTCCCTTGTGAATGTGAATGTGCCAAGTATGAACTAGCATATTGGCCATCGACCTATAACATTGTACCATTACGTTATCTAGGTTTATAGCCGACCTTGGGCCATCAAAAGAACTTCGCTGTTGTTATACAATCATTGAGTGCAAATGCTCAGAACTTCCCTAGACCGCTCGGAAGTTTCTTTGATGCGGATTAAGCAAGTGACCAAGCAGCCAGAATATCCACTTTGGATATATCTACTCCATATGAGCAATGATGTGATCATCCGCGAGAAAGATTTGAGTTCAGCTTTCCAGGATTGTGGTTGAGTATGAGTCATAGAATCTGTGCGGCTCAAGAGGTTCATATCAGACTGTCAGATCTTTTTTGAGTCAAACTCATGTGTGACAACGAGTCTGCCACCTAAGCCAGTCTGCCAGAGCAAGTGTGGTCACTGCAAAGTTCCATATGAATTAAAATGGGGATATCATCTATCATTTCACAAGTCTTAGTGAATGATCTTAGTCTTCACTTGCACTCATGGGGATGACATCCAGGAATTTTGGGACTTCCAGTAGCCTCACAGGTTAGTAACCCGTACCTAGAAGCTAACGGACATACGATGACAGCACTTTTAGAGAGAACGTGAACTCAATAAGGATTATAATCTGATATCACGTTCCTTGCTTGATTCTCACTGGTCTACCTATTTCATTCTGCTTTACTAGATTAGTAAACTACAAAGTAGAGTCTGATATCTCAGTTGGAGTCAAAAAACTGTGTCACTTTGAAGTCTTCCCTTGAAAGCTGCTTAAGCTTATACCACGTTTGTCCAACATCATGACAATCCATGAACTTAAATTCTGAATGTGTTGTCTTTGAAGAATCTCTTCGTTCTCCAAGCTTCTAGTTAAGGAAAAAGCAGCCAGTAGAACGTGGGATGTAGTGAAGCTGAAAATTGATCAGAAGTGTAGAAAATCTCAAATAAATTCTTTACCGCTCACAAGTACACGACAAAGGTCATGAACAGGAGAACTTAATGGACAGATTGCTTGAAGATAAGAAGAAGATTGAGTTTTGCGTGGAAGATCACGACCAGACTTCCGAAGACCATGATCTTCGGGTCAAGTATTTGTAAGTCTTCAATTTAAACATTTAATATGCTCTTAGACTTTACGCCGAATACATATATTAACATGCACTCACGAGCACGGAAGATGGATCAAGCATGTAAGATGCAGAGAAGATGTCTAGGCTAAGTCTTTCTTGCCATCTGAGTAATGTACTCTGCTACAATCTTATGTGTCCTAGGCATCCGAGAACGAAGTCTTCCACTCAAATTGTACCGGACACCACGACCCGACTTTCCAAAATCTTGGAGCATAACTTTCATTTGGAAATATTCCCAGTTAAGATATTATTTATTATTTTAATTATTTGCTAGTTCGGATTTACATATGAGTGTCAGGTGTTGCACGAATCGCAATGTTATGAGGACATCCTCTTGTAGATGACTACTATTGCGATGTGCTAAGTCTCTGGGACAGTTACAGAATTGACCAATTAGGAACGTGGACTCGACATTGCAGGTCTCAAGTTTCCACTTCTCAGTGAGATAACGTCAGAAGCTCTTTCTTTACTGCTGAAAAAACTTTATTCACGAATAAAGAAAGGAATTTAATGTATAATATCTAACGACTTCAGCTGACTACTCTTGACTTTTCGCTAACTCATGGATAGAATGATCACATTCAACAGCTGAGCACTTTGACATGTACAGTATTCAATCCACCTCGATTGTTGCACTAGCTCCTTCAAGAAATCCATCTGATCAGACATGCGACGGCATCTTCTCAATGGAGGATGACTTTTCCGGTCTCACAGCGCCAGCTCAGAGCCAAAGGATCCTCGAAAGTCTCTAACTGAGCTCAATAAGTTGAAATTAAAGTTGAATTTATGTCGATCGTGATCAAACATGGCATTTGATAGAGCTCGTGCCTCTCCTCCTCCCCTTCATACGTGACACTATCCTCACACATCATAGGAGCTCTGCTGGACATCGTTCTGCTACTACTATCTATCTCAAATCACTTCCAGATGGTTGATTTGGGCGGATACCCGATCGGGACAAACTTGTTCGAGAATCGGATTTCAGAAGTCAAACGTTTCCGGTTCTGTCGGCGGTCTTCAAGGTCTCCTTCATGGGGCACGCCAGGAACTTCTCTCCCAGCTTCTAAATCCCTTTCTCTCTTTCTCCGACCCAATCGAAAGCGATTCTCCACGCGGCCTTACGGACGCGGCGCCCATTTCTGTTGCTGGCCCCAGTGACGTCAACCCAATGACAGACTTCCTCGTAATCGTACTCGATTGCTTTTGTTGGTCAATGCGTCTGTAGATTTCAAGAAGTCTTGCCAAAAGCGATGAATATACTCTTTGAGTTAACAAAAAGGAGGAAGGATATCTCTTCAGCATTTTTTGTCATATTCTAGGATCCAATTTCCTGTTACTGACTGTCTACTTCTTCACTATGAAGCTTTGTTGAGCTCCATATGAGATCTCGGAGTGGTGCTAAAACAATGCAGAGCTTGATATTGATTTTGAAGCCTCATGGTGCTATTTCTCAAAAATCTTGCATCCTAATGCATGGTGAAGTTTTATTATGTACCTGAATTCAAGAAAAAAGTTTGATGGAGGTTAAGGTGATTACACTTCATAAGCCGTCATTAGAAGGAAATTTAAAAGTCCACGAGAATGTCGATGGTCATTCGATAAATCAAGTGATCTATGCCACCTAAACACAGAATTCGAGAGGTTTTGTCTGAATATGAAGCATCGATCTGTACGCACGGGCGACATCTAATCGGAGGACCTGCTGAAGAGTAAGGGGTAGTTCTCGTTAGATTTTTCTGTCGCAGGTCTTCCTCCGCAAGACCCGCTGTAACGCCAAGCCTCTTACGAGTCAATGTACGACTCATCGGAAGAAATTTCTCGAAGTCTAACTAATTCGAACTGTAACCAAGACGCGCTAAATGGCAGAGACATGCACAGACTGTGAATACTCTACTGTGATCGCACCACCGAGCGGCTGCGGAAGTTGCAACACTGTGCTCAGTTGTACAGATCCACGCGGAAAGACTTTTATAGTAGAGCTGTTTCATGCCCATGTACATAAACTGAAAGGCTTTGCAATGGGCGTTCTATTGACGAAATCAGCTTATCTCGCATTTGAATTCCTTGGTCAAAAAGATCATGTTAGATTTTTTTAATCCAGAAGGTTTTTCTGTGCTCGTGTACTTCTGATGGAGCTGGCTGTCATGATCTAATGAATTTTTTATTTTTGATGTTTATGTACTGATCGTACTGAAAGGCAATCAAATCGTAAGCGTTCACAACTTACAAATCACAACGGAGAGCGAAAGGACTGAAAGTTCTGCCGCGAGGCTCTTCATGGACAAGCTTATCTTCCATGGTTCAAACAGTTTTTCCCTAAATGATTTTCCCAGCGCAATAGTGTCTAAACCGTGCTGAAAATCTGACCTCAAAACAGCGGAAGATTTTGGACACCAGCAGTAGCATTTCATGAATCAACTGCATTGTCCTTAGACTCATACAGAGACTTCAGCACCAAACACTGAATATGACATTGAAGTGAACTAGGTCGAATCGGATCGTTCTATCTCTCAAACCCTGCAAGCCAGCAGAGTCACGAAGTCTTTGTCAAAAGCATGTGGCATACTGTAATGAAAGTAGATCTTCAGATTTCATTTATGAGCTCTAAGGATCAGGTCTGCAATATACAGAGGTCTGAGAAATATATTCTCTACATCGAGAAGCAGAAAAGGCACCTGAATTTAACGTCCGCGTATATACTCATGAGTCGTGCTCATGAGTAGTGTACTGATGTTCCGTTTTCTTCTGAAGTCTAGGCTAGAACGTGCATGATTCAGATCTTCAAGACATGAAATCCCTGCCAAGTACGCTCTGAGGTAAGCCCTGGCGCCCTACGATAGCCGATCAACAACACGAAGAGTCATGCAAGAGACCAGAAAGTCCAAACATCGAGCTTTAGGCCTAAAAAATATAAATGAAGAGTAAAGAATTCTACGAAGAATGCTAACGTAGTGACCCAGGGTGATGAGTAGTCATCTCAATAGCGCACAGGAAAGAGTCAAATCTGAACGTTTTCTTAGGATAATAAATCCTGTGACACATCTAACGCAAAGAATCGAAGGAAAGCCTTGGCTTAAGGAAAGGTGTAATCCATCATGACAGGCTATGAAAACACAGATCTTTGCAACAAAGCACTCAATAAACGCAGATAAAGACCAATTGAAAGTAGATATGGTCAACTTCGTGGAGCCACTTCTAATTGTACGTGTGGCAAACAGTCCATGCCTCTATTCATGCCTTTATTCAAACTCGGAACCAAGTCAGAAGCGTACGGAGACTTGCAGTATCCCAACAGCTTTTGGGAGACCGTCGAGCAGGGCTCGAAGTCAAAGCCCATTTGACAGTATATTTTTCACGCAAGGCATGAGCCCACGAGTATATAAGCCTCAGTTTCCCCTCCAGCAGATCAAACACAACTGAAGCCACAGAGTTGAATGCGAAAGGAGCTAGCTTTGTCTCAGATTAAATCATCCTCTCGATTGCATTTGGGAGCTGATACATCTTACGATGGCCGTGCCATCCAAGTCGCCGATGGCGATACTCCTCCTGGCGCTAGTCGTGCCTTTCCTCGTCCAGGGCAGCATGGCTCAGGTTTGTGGAAGCCAAGCAGGAGGAGCATTGTGCTCGGGGAATAACTGCTGCAGTCAATTTGGGTATTGTGGTGTGGGAGATGCATGGTGCGGTGCGGGCTGTCAGAGCGGTCCTTGCACATCTGGATCTAATGGGAGGTGTGGCAGAGATTTTGGAAACTCAGTGTGCCCAGGAGGCGCTTGCTGCAGTCAGTACGGGTATTGTGGGAGTACATCTGAATACTGCGGAACGGGCTGCCAAAGTCAGTGCTCATCAACTCCATCAACTCCATCGCCTCCTTCTTCAGGTTCATGCGGGAGCGGCCTTGCAGGAGTTGTATCCGAACAGCAATACAATGGCCTATTTCCTAATAGGAATGGTATCTACTCATACGGGAATATGCTCACTGCTGCTGAGTCCTTTCCCAGTTTCGCAACCACTGGAGACTGCAATACGCGCAAGAAGGAAGTCGCAGCATTCTTTGCTCACATCTCTCACGAAACTTCTGGTAACTATTTCTATGGAACTTGTCTTAGCTTCCTTGTTTTTTCACCTCAAATTGACTCAAGAGTTGGCTGTGATAAGGCAACTGAGTACATTAAGGATTCCACGTTTACGTGAAGGAAGCTTTTGTTTAGCTCGATGGAAGCTCTGAACTGAAGTGTACGGTGTTTTTTACAGGCTTGTTCTACGTCGAGGAGATCAACAAAGCTGACTACTGCCAACCCAGCGCTACCTATCCTTGCGCTGCTGGAAAGCAATACTTCGGCCGTGGTCCCCTGCAGCTGTCCTGGTAATCAATGAGTCTTGTATTTTCCTACTCCTGTGGACGTCTATGTCGTCATGATCATCATTCGAGCATTTCCAACCCAATAGTTTTGGCATGACCAGCACGTCTGCTCGTCGCGTGTTCTTGACTTTCCTCCTCCCTCTTGATTGCGTGATTAAATTCCAGAGTGGTAACACATTTCCGTGCACTGATCATAGAACTTGAAGCATTTGGCCTCTGGTTGAAACTGAAGCTTTCTCGTGTAGACGTGCAACACTAATCAGCAGGAGAAATGACGGATCAGAATAATTAAGTGTTCATCATGAGAACTGCACTGTTCAACAACAATTCGACTTCTCCTTGTCATCATTCCTCGACTGCCTAGCAGTAGAAATTCATCTGAATTTGTATCAAGCATCCCCGAATCATATGGCGAGAGGGATCGAATCGCTCTAACAAGATGTTGGATTTATTGCAGGAACTACAACTACAAGCAATGCGGTGACTCATCTGCTGTCAGCCTAGATCTTGTCAACAACCCAGACCAGGTTGCACAGAGCGGTGTCACTGCATTCAAGGCTGCGTTTTGGTTTTGGATGACTCCTCAGAGCCCCAAGCCTGCTTGCCATGCAGTCATGACCGGCGGCTGGACCCCTTCCTCATCCGATTCAGCCGCAGGCAGGACTGCAACTTTCGGAATGACCACAGTCATCATCAATGGTGGACTGGAATGTGGCTCAGGAGCCAGCAATCCAGGAGGTAACACCAGCCGGATGAACCTGTTCACCAGCATGTGCTCCGCCTTCGGAGTCAGCCCTGGCAGCGGCACGTCCTGTGCCAGCATGACGCCTTACTAGAGCTCGAGGCTTTTGGCCTCACACATTGTAGCGAGGTTAATTAGATTGCCAGAAGCAAGACAACAGGCTTCAGCCTGCTTGCTCATGAGTCCGAATCATGTATTATTTGGACATCACTGAATAAGACCAAATCTGCTAACTCGCTCATCATTGAATGTCTTCACAATGTCACACAATAGCGCAATAAAAGAATGTTCAAGCCGTCTGAAATCACGCGTGATGTGCATTCTTCGGAAGGCTCTTCCACTCTGTCTCTCGTTCATGGTGTCTTTATCCGTGTGATCGGATTCTCTCACAGTGTTATGTTCTAGAATATCGACACCTCACGGTGTGTAAGATGTAGCTCTCGCCTGCAGTCAAGAGCACATATTCCCCAGTTTCAATCTGGGAGACTTGCAACGCAGACAATGTTCTAAGTTCGAAAGTGCGGTGCTTGAACAAAGCGAGCAATGAACCAGTGCTCTGCTCGAGACAGCAAAAGGTGAAAACCGGCTCTGCTCTGAGACTTACAGAAACACTGTCGTAAGAAAATGAAGGCGATGAGAGTCCCAGTTTACCACTCGAGAAATTTTTCCTCCAATGGTAAGACGGACGACTTTTTCTTGTTGGCCCTCTTCAGAGATCCCGTTCCTCTGAGACAGCCTCGGAGTCAATCATAGCAACATGTGTGAATCATTGCGTCGATCACCAAAACTTGACGTTCAGAGTTCCTCGACAGCAGCGCAAACCTATGACAGCAAGTTGGAGCAAAGAGCCCGCATCGTCTGGAGAAGCGATAATGATTTCATTTGCAGCTAAGTTGGTGGGTTTTATTAGCTTCTAACTTTTTGAGAAGATAAAAACTCTCCATTCAGTTTGTTGAATATTGCCGCAAAGGTGTGATCTTCAGCATCTGTATGATACTCAGAGGCTGCGTCTGGAATCTTGAGCTATTGAAAATTTAAGCATTGCAGGTTTTGTTTGTTTTTTGTGGGCTCTCTCTAGTTACAGGAAAAGCTCTCCTTTCGGTTCTAGAACGAAGGGGTACTGAACTAGTGCATAGTAGAGATTCAGAGATTACTACAGAAATAAATCTAAAGACTTGCTCAGAAGCTTTCGTTGGTAGATCTGCAACTCGGGCGAGTTTAACAATCCCCTTAATTTATACGACAATTGATTCGCTAAAAAATAGAAACGTCAAATTAGAGATGAATTCTTCTCTTTCCTTAGCTCCCACGTGTCTTCATCAAATCCTAAATCGTATGGAAGTAGACTGACTAGTCACAATAAGGGCACACCATATAGAAGTTCGTCTATTTTGAGATATCTGAAATTTTTCCTCCTGCAGATGAAGGTTAAACGTGGAAAATGGTAAAGATTCTAGCTACGTTTCGGGAAGGGTCACCGCAGGCTTGAGGCTACCTTTGAAAGTATACGTCCAATTTTTAATGAGATTCTTCGAGATTTTCAGCTCTCAAGAAGAAGCTACTGGATTCTGAGTGGAAATATCTAAATAATAATTGACACAAATGAAATCGTTTACACATCTAGATTTTAGTTCCCTTCGATTCTCAAATGAGGTCTGGTTCAAGGACTTTATAGAATCGCTTCAAGTCAACTAAGAGCATTGCAACTGTAAAGTTAGTAGAAAGACTGCCCTGATGAAAGCTGCCATAAGAAGCACAAAAAACGAACGAGTTATCTCATAGTGCTGAGAGATGCGATATTCAATGAAAACAGTCGAGGCTAGTCCAGTTTTCTTCTGTAGCTCGCCTTGTGAACCATGAACGAGAACGCAACACTCTTATTGAGTCAATTATTTTTTACCTAAACCTCAAGCTCCTTTTCACATGGAAAGTGAAAATTTTTTATTAAAATGCATTTGAGCATAAAATCCTGATTACGTCGGGGCGATAGATTTTATGTCTTGCCTACGCTTTTTGGGACATGTGCTCAAGTAGGATGCAGAAAACATTCTCTCATGCGAAGTGCGAAATAAGCAAAAAGAAGTACCTACAGCTGAATATACCATCCACAGGATTCAAATATTTATGGAGTTATCTCTAATCATGGATGTAGAAAATATTCGACAAAGGATGTTCTCTGCCTAATAAATCTATCGGGTATAGAACTGACTACCGTCGAGTAGAATAATATATGTATGCACATCTTTACCAGGTGTACTATCGTCACTATAAAGGTATTGACGATAGTACACTGTCCATACACAACTGACAACAAAAGTCACACACGAAATATTCAGCCTCTTCTCTTCTATTATAGCGAAGCTCATTAAAATAAACCACATGGACGACTTCCAATGATCACTAGGAATATCGTAGTCAAGCAGTGGACTCAATCATCTGAATGTACCATGCAGACTAGAAGAATGTGCGATCAAAGCCAGAGCGAAAGCTAGACTCCATGCTTGATAAGAGAGCAGCTAACTACTCACGATACAGACACTCGTGGATGAGGAAAGGTTAAAAAAAGCCCAATATAAATGTTACCATTTCATAATCTAGCTAAAAGTATAATCTAAGATACTACTATAATAACGTGAAGTTGCAGATTATGCCAAAATTGATGACAGACAAAGCAAGAGATACCTACCCATGATTTATTTAATATACAGCCTTGTGCTTGTCTTTCTTATTGGACGTGAATTGTCTATGACTATTTTTAAAAATAGTTTTAGATTTTTGAAAGTTAATTAGATTCAAAACCTTGACAATGCAAAAGCTTTTTTTAAGATTACTTTCATCATCGTAACCATTCACCCATTTTCTCATATATACGGTAACTCGTAGGCCATGTCATTGGTGAGCACTGTTGTGCTTTGCGTAATAAAATAATGGTCACTCTTGATTATAAGCGTTTTGTATGGTGCTATAACTTGTTGTGCATGGCCTCTTGTTTAGTGAGGTAGTTACTACGTCAGGAGTATGAATGTTGATGTTATGCTATTTCACAGAATCTCTAAATGACGTTTTTACGGTGCGTCATTGATCGAAACATTTCAAAAAAAAATTCGAAAACATAGAATGAAATATTAATGTGAATAGTCATTTATATGCTTCAAATTTGTTGTCAGTTCTTACGAAATTGTTGAAAGTACAACCAAAGTCGACCCTCTTTCAAACATACTGATATATATATAATATTTATTTATATATAACTACTCAACCAGTGCCGACTGCCGCTAACATTTTTCTGTATGAATAATTCCAGCAAGCTGTATGTACTTCCTTAGCAAGAAGACCAAATATATTTGTAATTGATTATTGGGAATGATTGCTCCTTACGGATGGTACGATTCTGCCAACAGGGACAGTTAAATTTTTATTTTGTCAGAGATCACTAGTTTAGTTCCAGATACTTCGACACACCATATCTTAAAGTGCACTGTGGAAAAGATGTTCGAGATATACTTCCTTTGAAAATGGTTTCTTTCGAGGATATGAATGCCTGTAACTCAGTCACACAGCAAATAAGCGTCCAGACATTGAACACGTAGAATATGACCGAAGAACTGGACAACAGATTTATGCGATAATCCCCAGAGAAAGTGGATGTTCACTAAAAAAAAGAAATCCCTCCCAACACTGGATATATTTGGTGATCTCTATAATTAACAACGCGATAACCATTCGTTATTTACTTATTGGTTTTTTATTAATGAGAGTGGCTTTGTTATGAGAGTGCGATCTTTCGCCCATGATTAGCACAAGAAGATTTGGATCGATGGGACCATTGCAAAAGAGTGGGAATTGCTTCGTATGTGTACAATTAAGGTAATGCGAAAAAATATCAAGAAAGGTTGCTTTAGTTGTAGATGTTGAAATCATTATACGTATTAAAGCAATTTTCTATGCAATGGTATGCAACGTTCAATTAGTTTATAAAAACACAATAATTTTCACGAATTAAAATGAAAAATGAGAATAATATTGAGAATAATATATTTTATTTATTCTTTTTTATTATACTATGAACAGTATCATTTATATGATGATATAAAAATATTTTATATTTCTTTAATTATGAACAGTAAATGAATATTTATTGGAAAACAATAAAATAAATTTTTAGGTATTAAAGAAAAAAATTACCAAAAATTATGTTAATCTGTTTGATTGTTTATTAATCAATGCCAAATACATGTCTTCTTTAAAGAGAAGCAGATCTCAATTATAATTAATTTTCAACATGATATGAGTTAATATATGGTGATTAATGCATTACAACCCAAATTTAAATTTGCAAAAATAAGTAACAAAATTTGAATATGAAACTACATAAATTTTCTATCAATTCAATCTCAATGATAGATGAAGATTAAATTAAAATATGAAATTAAAAATCTTCATTGTTATGATCAAAATATATTACGTCTTGTTGCAAATCAAATTATGGATAGTAGATTTGAATTACATTGACATTATATCTCATTTTATCATATTCGATAAGTTTAAAATAAATCAATCTAACTGATAAATTTAAAATAAATATTTTCGTATTTTATAAAATTTTCTTCCAGAGTTTGGAAATTTTTATATTTACGTTATTCTGATTACAACTTAGTTATATATTGTATAGTTTTATCTCGTTCTGATTACAACTTAGTTATATTATTTTTAGTGTATCTTGTTCTGATTACAAATTATTTTTATTATTTTTATTTTTAAATAATTTAAATCTTATATAAAAACAAATGTTCTATGAATGAAAGGAATGACTTAATATGTTTTGTAAATAATTTCACATTTTCTTAAATTAAACTTTTCAAGTTCTACACAATTTAGATTATCAGTACAATTGAAACCTATCGATTATTCTATTATAGATGAAATTTTCTTCTACAAAGTATTTTTGTGTATAGTGTACACAAATATTTACAAAAAATATTTAAAAAATATTTTTCTAAATATTAGTGTTTATATTTTGGAAATATTGAAATATTCAAAATATTCTTATAAAAAAATTGAACCAAATTTTATGTCTTGACTTTCTATACCTAGTTATTCATATGTTTCAATTTGCAATAAGAGATATAATTTTTCATACATTGATATATGTCTAAAAAATTTTGTATTTCTTTTCGATATATGTTACATTTCGAATTTATCAAAATAATCTAATATAAATAAAATTAATATTTAACCACATAATATCCATAATTTTATCAATTAAAAAAAAAATATATTAAGTTTGAAGTCGGTACATCCGTAATGATATGATATAAGAACAGGAGGTTTGAATCTTACTATCACGACCATGACAAATCTAGGCTTTGAGCTAATAAGTAGAATAGAGGTAGAGAAGATCTATCAGTTAAGGTTTCAATCGCAGCCTAACATGTACTCTCACTGAACTCTATCCACATTCCAGCTAGTGCTTCAACTCATGAATCTGCATGTCTCCAGAAGTACATTGATGAATAATGGTGGAACCTTATCATGAGAATAAGCTCCCGCTTACCTCCCGTGTAAGCTTTATGCAGTGTTCAGAAACGCCATACTATGCCTGTCACACTGGAATCTTCTTTTCTTGGAAGAAGATCTATTATTTAAGGTTTCAGTCGCAGCCTAACATGTACTCTCCCTGACCTCGATCCATATTCCAGCTAGTGCTTCAGCTCATGAATCTGCATGTCTCCAGCGCCAGTGAATGCGCAATCGTGGTCAATCGCAATCGAGAATGGATACAAGGGAAGATTCCTAGATCGATGCTATGTCTGGGCGATTACAAGTCTCGAGAAGGAGTGCAGTACTCCTTCCAACTTTGACATAGCAAGCACGTATATATGCCATAACTTTCTGACATGGAGACTTCAAGAGCTGCTGCTGGAGGCATCGGCATGAATCTCAGCAGAAGTCCATGCATGTCTCGAGAAATCAGACCCCGCTGGAACTGCCGAACTCATTTTGCTTTATGCTCTGAAACAGAAGGAAAATGTTCAGTCCCGCGATGATGGTGGCGACGAGACACGCCACTACTTTCACGATCCGGCCATTGACGAAGCTCGGTCCCATCTTCGCCGTCGAGCTGGTAAAGTGAACGAGGGGAATAACAGCGAATGACAATGTCAGTGACAGAAGCACTTGGCTCATTACCAACAGCCTTCCAGCTCCAGCGTTGCCCCCAACAGCAGCCACGATGGTGGCAGGAATTACAGCAATTCCTCGAGTGATGGACCTTCTGATCCATGGCTTGACTCGGATCTTCAGAAATCCCTCCATGACAATCTGACCAGCCAGGGTACCGATGATGGTCGAATTCTGCCCACTGGCCAACAAACCAACTCCGAACAAGATCTTTGCAGCTTGACTTCCCAGCGCGGGAGCCAGCAGCTCGTAAGCATCGGTGATATTAGCCACGTCTCGGTTGGGATTGGGGCCGTAGTAAAAAGCTGCAGCTGCGAGAATGAGGATCGACGAATTCACAAAGAAGGCGAGCATCAACGAAACGCTGGAGTCCCATCGTCCATATTTAATGGCCATCTTCTTGCCCTCTTTGGTTCGTGGGTACGCTCTGGTCTGAATAATGCTGGAGTGCAGAAAGAGGCTGTGAGGCATGACGGTGGCTCCCAGAATTCCAATCGCAGTGTACAGCATGCTTGCATCCTGGAGAATGATCGGATCTGGCACCAACCCCTTGGCCACCTTGCTCCACTCGGGCTTCACCACCGCTAGCTCGTAAGCGAAGATGCCTGCTATCAGGAATGCCATGCCACCGACGATGAACTCCAGAAACCTGAAGCTTCTTATTCCGAAGACGAGGATGAACAATGTGTCCACGGCAGTGATGAGCACCCCGGCCCAAATGGGGATTTTGAACAGAAGGTAGAGAGCTGTGGCGGAGCCGATAACCTCGGCGAGATCGGTGGCAGCTATGGCAATCTCGATGATCACCCAGAGAAAGTAGACCACATACTTGGGGTATGCATCTCGGCAAGCTTGAGCCAAGTCTCTCTCGGCCACCACTCCAAGTTTTAGAGACAGTGACTGGAGGAAGATGGCGCAGAGGTTGGAGAGGAGAATTACAGTCAGAAGAGTGTAGCCATACTTTGCACCTCCTTCGAGGTCCGTGGCCCAGTTGCCAGGATCCATGTACGCAACGCTGATCATGAATCCGAGCCCAACAAGAGCGAGCACCTTCTTGTACCACGGGGATCCCGCCTCTGGCCACTTGACACTCGAATGAACCTCCACGAGAGATGGTGCGAAATTCGCCTGCCTCCAGCCTCGGGTCAGAAAGGTCTCCCGCTCCTCCATCTCCAGAGCTTCTGCGCTCAACTTTCCTCCGCCTCCTTCTCCTGCTTCCAGAGCCACCATCTCAGTCGACGAAGGATCCATGTCTCCTCTTTCTCCACCTGCAGAAGACGGGAGTTCCCCCGGTCCCAATCCTTCCCCTCTTGAAGCACCTCCCAATGTCATCATCTTGATATTGATATTGATAATACTTCTGCTGGAGATCACTCACTACCGAGTCTACTGGAATGCAATTACCACAAGCAAATTTCACTGTAAGTAGCCGGACTCAGAGGGATCGAGCTGTCGGACAGGACATTCTGTATATCAGACCGACAGGAAAACATAGATGTTGATCCTGAGCTTGGAGATCCAAGGCTTCGATCTAGGACTAGGTCCAGTCAATGGGATGCATACGTGCTCGGAGGAAAGGAAGGAAGGAAGGAAGCTGGCTCGCTCGACACCTTGATTTGCTGCCTTTTGAAAGCTGCAACACAAAGCTTAAATAGGAGTGCGATTCAAACACAGATTTTCGTTGGGACGCGAGCTGTACTGCGGCAGCCACTGTGTACTTCCCCCAGAACACTCCTGAGTTGTTCGCAGCACTGCAGCTGCTCACGCTGTGGCCCCGTCACGCTTGGCTAATTCACCGGAGGCCCAAGCCCTGCCCCCACCATTTCATCTGATCTATCGTCACGTTTGATCTGATCCAACTCTCATCACTTCCTTAATCTTCCATCATATTCTCTTCTTCATATCATTCTCGTACAACGTAAGGAGAAAGCGTAAGGATAATTTTGGAGCCGGATTGTAAAAGCGAGATAGATATTTCTTTATTCATGATAACCAGTTACCCATAGATACTGTAGCTCGTACACCATGTGAATAGTGGGGCTGTTGCAATTTGTTGCCATTATACGTTTTGCTTGGTGACATACTGGGCAGTGTTGTGTACATTCCTCTCGTACAGAGCGACATATTGTTATGAAGACGCGTTCTCTGATGAGGTAGTTTTGACGTCAGGAGAATGATTTATATGGCCTTGGTATTTCACATAGTATCTTCGTAAATTTTTTTCGGTGTGTCATTGATGGAAACATATAAATAATGTGACGATAATATAGGATTTCAAATACCAGGCGAATATTAATTTTTTATGCTTCAAATATTTTACTACTGGTACAAATTCTTTCAAAGCACAACAAAAATGGACTCTCCTTCAAACAAACTGGCATTCATATGATTGTTCAACCAACGCGATTTGGCAACAATTGGCGTCTCAGTAAGTCTCAGTAATGAAGCAAGTTGGACTTCCCAGAGGAAGAAGACAAAATATAGATTGTAAGAGATTAAGGGAGATGATTGCTCCGTACAGATGGTACGATACTTCAAACAGGGACAGCTGACTTTTCATTTTGTTGAAGACCATTAATTTAGCTACTGATACTTGGACACACCGCATCTAAGAGTGCACTGTGGAAACGATGTTCCAGATATGCACCCCTTAAAAATGGGTACGAGAGATTGCTCCAATCGACGGTGCGAAGGCCTCCGACTGCGTCACACAGCAAATGAGCTTCCAGCCCTTGAACACGGCGCCATATGGCCACTGAAGGGGCCAACAGAGCTCTCCCATAAGGACCCGGAGACCGTGGATGTGGATGTTGGCGAGGGGAAAATGCCAACATCCTTTTGTCGCACATTTCGGAGGCAATTGGAGCTCTCTATAATTAACAACGCACCACAATTCCTATTTCTATCCCTTCGACTTCGAATTGAGTATATCTGAATTTGTGTTAGTATCGGAATGGATTGTGATCAGAGTTTTAGTACGTCCTGTCTTGCGTCATGAGTAGCTGTGGGGGATTTGAACCGATATGAACCTTGGCACTGGAGTGGAACGTGTTTCGTTAGTGGACCCAATAGAAACGCTTCTCGCTTTCTTCCACTTGAACAAAACACTGTCCTTCACAGTGATCCAGCATGTGGATTCATGCATCGAGGTCAAAAACGTCTACAGAGCGATCCGAGCTTTAAAGCAGCCGACGTGATTATGATCATGGACTTATACAATTGAAAAGCTCAGTATTACACTGCGACAGAAATTGACCCTCATCAACTTGAGCTAACGTAACCACCATTCAAGCGAACAATGATTTTTGTGAATCTTACAAGTCTGACAGAGTGAATTGCGAAGTCATCCGAGCGTTTTTAGTCCGGTGTATAAGATCCCAGATGCATATGACTGATAAGGGAATACTTCGATCTTCTTATCAGAAAGGAGACAATGCAGCATTGTGCTATTCTTGACATTACATCGGATGATACCGGCTGACATCTAGACTTTGATGATAAGAGAATAAACGTTTACAGCAGTTTATGTGTAACAAGCGTTACGCATCCACAAATCGACATGCGAATCCGTAATATCGGTGACGGGAATAAAACAATCTGAATTGAGATCAATAACTAGCCATCTAAAAAATGGAGTTTTTGCTATTCTTCAGCGTAAAGAATTTACATGTCGTAAGAATCAAGCATCGAAACAATTACGCTAGCTCCAAAACTCATCTCAGCTATGGAGTGAAATAATCTATCCTCTGTCCAATCTCCATCTGAGCAGATTGTACTCAGATGTAGATTGTACTACTCTTCAGCTTAATCGGCTTTACTTATTGTTATTATTCTATTCTCTTGATGGACTTTATGCACATCTTTTATTCTTATCTGCATTTCAAATGAAATCTTATTAGGTATTCCTGAATCAAGACATGGATGTTTCATTTTCTCAGCTTGCTGGATACTCTTCTCGGTGTCTTCAAAAGTCATATCATTCTTGAGAAGACCTCCAGTCTCATCGCTGCAGTAGAGACTTCATGATAAAGAATTAAGGGTTTAACATCTAGAACAGCAAGCGCCTGTGGATTTATTTTCACGTCAAAGCAACCTAGCGATTCAGCAGTGCCATAGGAAAGCTCGTCGATTACATATTTGGCTGACTTCGCAAGAGACTTTAGTGGAGATGTACTATCAAGCCCTGATACCACATGCTTGTCTGATTCAACCATTGTAGCTTCTGAGGATATTGCAGCAGTATTTGCACATCATTGTTTGAACTCATCAAAAGGTATCAGATCTCCATTCGAATTTTGTTTTGAGAGTGACACAGTCCACAATACTCTGCAGAAAACCAAAAATATTTAGTTCTTTAGAAACAAAAATCCCAATATACATGTATGATTATTCAGTGCAAGAAGATTGCAGATTTTTTGAGATAAGCTGCTGCTTTTAGCTAAAAGAATAAATTAAGCAGCTTACACAAATCAAGAGCATAATGTGGATGAGATGCGGTTACCTTTTTGTATATTCTGAAACATCTACGGGTTTTTGAACTCAAACCTGTATAGCTTATGGATGGTTCTATGAAATTGTGTAACACACATTTGTGATTCGGCCGGAGTTCTATGGTTTGATGCGAACGAAAATTTGGTCTAAAAATTTATAGTTTAATGCCAACAGGCTTAACAAATATTCACGAGATGGGTCAGGCAGCCAGGATTTTCTATTGAGATCTAACTATCAAAAAAAAAAAGCCATAAGGTGGAGTCGAAACCTCCTAACAGATTCAGTTTTGAGGTTTCTCAGTGATTGAGCAATTTGATGGCACTATGACCAAGTAATAATTGTATTGTTTTCAGAAAAGTTTTTGTTATAAGCTAAAATGGACAGCTCATTAAAACAAATCAACCAGCTAGTGCAATAGTCTAGATTAGAAAAACGAATGCATTTAGTTGTGACACCTTAAGCTTTATATTTCCAAAAAGTCTAGTAAAATTGACGTTTACGGATTCGTTCACTACCTGAATGAGAATTATTTAAAAGTATGTTGACAATCAAACAGCTAATAGGTAGGAACGAGTAATGAAGGAGGACATGCTGCACCCATGCCTGGATATCGAGGACGTTATTCTTTGGTTTACGAGAAAGTCAGTCAGTGACTTTCTCGTACACCAGTTGTTGGATATGAGTGGCTAAAGTCTGCCCAAAATATGTCCTCGTTTGTGCTGCTCGTTAAAAATACGTCTAGCTCGCCGATTGCGCTTGTGTGCTTCTGATACTTTAAACAAATTTATAGCGAATCAGTTGTGTTCCTTGGACCAGAATCATGAAAGCGAAATCGTGTGATCATGAGTCTCATACTTGAATCTGAATTTCGCTTACGGTAGTCTATTTCAATAGTTCTTTGGACCATTCTAACTATTTATGATTTGATGCGACCAGTCTTACCAGAGATTTACAAGTTGAATATTCTGTTGAAATAGGACTATTGGGAGAGAAGTTCTAGAAGAATTTGGAACATGCCCTTCCATCCCAGATTTGATACTAGTGTCAACAGAGGCTGAGTGGGAGGCGGCTTTTGTTCCTCAGAGATGGCACCCGTCCTTGGAAGAGTTCTGATGTAGCAAGGAGGTAGGGAGCAGTCGCAGGTTCTGAGATGGTTCTGACGTATTTTTTAGACCTCACCAGATCTGAAAACGTCATTGCGTTTCTTCTCACTTCCGCTTCTCTCAGATTGCGTAGGCCTGAAAATGAATGTAAAATGATCAAGAGCCTCCAGAAAGACAATATGCTCTCAAGCCTTTGAATCCAACCTTCGAAGATTCTTTGTCCGACTTATCCAAAAAGGTTCAATATGACAAAATTTCATGCATTGAAACATATGCAGAAATAAAAATTTTGCTAAATCTTGGGGCTTGGAGAGATGGGATTTAAAAATTATGAGAGCCAGCTCATGCAACTTCCGTAATTATTCTATTCATGCGTGGGTACTGTCATCTTCAGGCCATCACGGTCAGAAGACAATCATGATGTTTAAGGTCACAAGACTTGATGCGATAATCAAGATGCAGTTGCGTGTTTTTGCTAATTGAAGAGCCAGCTCACAGCATTGCCGTTACTTGTGTGTTCACATAAGGCAGAAAGCCATAGGATTTCTCCCCCGTATGCAAAGTACATCTCCAGGTTAGTGACGTACAAGGTATCGATGTCTTCTTTCGGTTTTTGTCTTCTCCACACGAAGACAACATAAACTTAAGATGAACCGTATTAATTTTCTGTTGTATTCGTGTGGAGAAGACATCGATACCTCGTGAAGATGTCTTCCTTCGGTTTTTGTCTTCTCCACACGAACACAACAGAAATTTAAGACGGTTCATCTGGAACCACCAGATTTAGAGCTTTGTCAGACAGAAATTCTACAGCCGGTGTCATTCCTTACGCCCAGATATCTGTTTCTTCCCTTTAACTTTGCAATGAATTTTAGTCTCAACACCTTCATACCAAGGGGGATGATCGATAATATAAGCATGCTTGAGACTGTGCATTGAAATTATACGCAAAAGGTTATCTCCTTCAGAGAATGGAAAGGAATTTATTTCGGCTCATCTTCCTCTAAACA